TTTTAAGATGTCTGCGATGAATATTTCGATGTGCTGCAAAGGTTATAATAAATTAAGGAATGTAGTTTAATTTTATCCATTTTCATTTTTCAAAATACAAAAATATACGGAGCAGGATAATGGGTCTAGTTTTCCTATTTTTGGTTCATTTAAAAACATCCCGTTCCTGATCAGTGTTATCATGGCCCAATTTTCTCGACTCAAAATAATATGTATTCCCAGTTTCCCCAGGGTAGCATATGCCACTGCCGACTTCACCTTCACCCATATTCTGTACAATATTTTTTATTATTCCGTGCTGAACTCTTAAATAATAACGAATATCATAGCCTTTAATTACGCTCAATATGCTAACTTAATTACACGTAAGTATCGATACCACGAAACACAACACCCCCACACACACACACATATACCAACATAGATACAACAACAACAGCAAATTGTAACAACAACAACAAAAATCCCGGATAAAGGAAATAAATATGTATGGACTTGCAATGTCAGCTTTGCCGGCATTAATTCAGATCAAGTGGTATTAATTTCAACGCCTTCGTACTCAATTAAATCCCAGTTAGCTCGGATAGGGGTTAGTGGGGAGACGGGGTGGTGTGTCGTATACATTATAATTACAGGACAGCGAATTATTTACAATACGTATACGACATGTGCAGTACCTATTTAAGTGAATTAAACATTAAATAATACAATTATTGCAAAGAGCGACCACTACAATAACAAATACAAAGGGAGATGGGACAGTGAAAAGTGAGCGAATGAATCACTGAAATAACTTTTTGTATATAAATAACATTAATATCATTACATTAACATTAATGGATTATTTAAAGCGTGTGATAGGCACAAGAACTGCCTTACACACACACACTCGTTTTTTTATTAAAACACATTTAATTATTTACAAATATCGGTTACTCGATGGCAGAAAATAAATAAAAAAAACACAACACCATATTTTTACCTCAGGTTATGGGACAGCAGTGATTTCAGATTTGTTTATTGATCACAAACACACACACTCTCTGAAATATCCATGTGTATATGGTGATTGACACAAACTACAATAAAATAACTTGAACAAATTTTCGTTTTTTTTTTTTTCTTTTATTTACAAACATTCATTCGAACGTATGAAACAAAAATATTTATACACCAGGAGTCCAATATGGGTATTAAATAAAAATGCTACTAAAATGTTGATATTAGTGACTGAGTGTATGTGTGTGCGTAAGTTAATGTTTGTCTGGGTATTCACCAAAAAAAAAACATTTTGTCTGCAGTGGTTCTTTTTTCACTTTCTTTTTTTTTTTTTGGAATATATTCGTCGATTTGTTTGTTAGTTTTTACTATTGTTTGTTTGTTCGTCTGTTTGTACGTACGTATGTGATGACTACCTTTGTGTGTGTCTATTTATTTATGTTTATTGTATTGGCTGTTTTTATTTGCGGTTAGCGTCAAAGCGTCATTTCCACTATCCTATTTAGCCATGCGATCTATATTTACTTAAAGACGTGTGGTTTTTCTTTTGCAAAATTTTGTTTAAAAATAATGATTTGTTGATTATCTATCTATGAAGAATTTGAAAAACAACAAATTTAAATTTTTTGTAAATTATTCAAATATTTTGTAATACAATGTAATATTTTTTCTATTTTAAGCCATTATGCCATCAAAATTTAGATTCCACTTAACGACCTTGACCATAACAAATATGCTGAGCCAACATAAATCAATACTGTCTTAATAATTCAAAATGTTTATTTATAAAATCTAACCTTAAATTCGATTGAGAACCTACTGAGAAATTCACGTATCGAATTCCAGGCAATTTCAAAAAAATCTTCACCATAAGCTTCAAAATACTTAATTTCGTGTGTGCCGTTATATGAAATCTGTAAACATATGTGGACTCGTGGTACAATGAAGAAAAGATAGGCAATCTTTGAAAAAATTTGCAAGTATAGAGGTCTACCTGGTTGGCTTGTAATGTCAAAATTAGTATCAAAACAATAACAAATCAAACAACTTGTTGCATTTATTTTAAATAAATAATTGAAAACCGCGATAACTGAATGAAAGGTCAACACTTCTTTTCAAAATCATGTACTATATATCCCATATATCTCTCTCTAAAGGATTATTTCGCTACAAAAACTCTAGATTTTGTCGATGCATACGTTGAAATAAACATTTTGAAAACACCGGAATTTGAATGTTGAAAGAAAAATTGAAAGAAAACACATACATAAACAAATAAAGATGACATATTAAGCCAAGAAAATAAAAAAAATTAAAATTATATGGTACCATAGCCCTACCTTGATATCATTGTACCATGTGTGGACTTATTTCTGTTGGAGGGATTGATACCTCATCACTCAACACTTTACAAACCAAATTCAAGGTAAATCGATTAAAAAAATTGGCTTAACTTAAAAGAAAAAGTTTGACCAATGTAGTCAATTTTCTGAGAGACATGAGTTTTCTTTACGAGGTTCAAATACCAAACTTCAGGGAATTTAAATTCCAAAGACTTACTACAATCATTTAAATCATCATTAAAATTGGGTATAACAGGGGGTACTGTTATATGGTGGCTATACGAAAATGTGGACCGATACAGGTCAGAAAGACGCTGATGCTCATTACGGATAATTTTTTTTGGGTGTTAACCAGACATTTAAAAAATAATTATTACGGATATTTTGATACGTGGACCGATGTTCCAATTTAACCTGCCTTCAGAAAGAAAAGTCAGCCCTGGGCCAGGATTCCCATCACAAGTCTATTAAATTCTACCGTGGTTACAACGGACTGTCAACGGACAGATGGACATGGCTTTATCAACTTTATTGGTTCTAAAACATGATTAATTCCTTGAGTTACAAACGGAATGATAATCTTAATATACCATCCAACATATTTAAAGCTTTGCTCCCGAAATAAGACGTAAAAATTTGCAAATTTTTAACAATTTTTGACAGGTATCCGATATCAAAAATCTCTAAAATCGACACAGAACAACATTTTTGATTCATTTTTTAATTTGTTGATAAATTTTCCTCAAGAACACTATTCTTAAACTGAGGTAATGTTTAAAAGCTGCTACACTTAGGCTAACGAAAGGCTTCGCTTGCTCCCTATTCGAAAGAACCTCAACTGACTTCTATTTGAATGGCGACTAGAATCGACAGTCCGAAAATTATAGAGTTAGAGTTATAATTATTAAAAATTTTAAACCCTTTTGGGTGAGGTACTTGGTGGAGTGGACCGATATTGTCCATTTTCTCACCTGACCTAACATTGCTGCAATATTACGATTTGCTAAGTTGGAGCGAAGTCGGATTATCTTTACTCTCTCTGTGCAATAAAATATATTTTTGGAAAATTTCGATCTTTTGTGGGGAGATGTACTAGAAGGAAGGAGTGGACCGATATTGCCCATCTCCGAACTCGATCTAAGTTTGATAATAATTTACGTTGTACCAAGATTGGACTAAATCGGATACTCACTTCGAGAGATTATCGTTCTCACCAGCCAGACAGACGGATGCACAGACAGACAGCTCCAGATCGGCTCCAAATGTCCCGAAATGTATTTTGTCTAAAGAGACAAAGGGTCTAAAACCATTATTTCGGTGAGATACGTTTTTGCCGAATCAAACCATATATACCATCTCTAGCCATATGGCTGATGGTAAAAAATTAAATCTCCATAATTTAAGAGATATTGTAAAATCTCCCCGTTACAAAACAAAAACTTCCATATAGAATCTATTAGGCAGGAAAATGTGGCTAAGACGCTCAAAATACAAACATTTGGCGGCTACCATTATATAAGGAGCTATTCTGAAAATATGACAAACACTGAACATTTTTTTCAGTTCGAGTAAAATCAGCAAATTTGGATAAAACCGATGCATGTATAGCTAAGCTCATATGTATATGTCGATTTTATTTTTAAGCCTTCTAAGAGGTGCAATACGCACTATATGGAAATGATATTTGTAAAAACCTCCAATTCGTTAAGACCCCTCTTAATCGTACCTCCCGATTCGGAGTGTTCTGCAGGGGGTATAAACTTTACCTGCAGTTAATTTTCAACAAGAACGTACGAATTATGTGGGTTGAGTTTGGGCCCTGCACTGCGAACGCCACTCTTCTGCCAATTTTTGTATATTTCGAATGGAAAAGATAATTTTTTGCCAGTTAGGTCCACTTCTTAAATGGTTTGAAAATGTGTTACTGTGGACGTATTTGATTTTCAATGTAAGTCTACAATTTGGTATTACCTCCATATGGTATACTACTTCCTAATATTTGGTATTTATAAAATCTCAGTCTTGGCTATACTTTTGCAATTCAGGTTATTATTGAAGGAAAATTCACCCAATAAAAAGTAGTTGCGTACACTTTCCATTCCAAGTTTCTGTAACATGACATTTTTTAAATCTTAAAGAACAAAACACATTTTCAAATAAAAAAATCGAAAGTCTAGGTCGTAGATTGTAGACCCACAAATTGTAGGTATTTTGATAGTCCTGCCCACATTTTCAGCTATAATTTACAATATATATTTCACTATAATTCACAATAATTTGAGTTTCACATAATTGATGAACAAAAATATTGACGCCGTTTTCACATTTTTACCTTTGCTTTAACTTAATTTTTAAATATTGTTTTTTCTTTTCTTTTTAGCATCAAGTAAATATTGCATGGATTCATAAGATAGTGCGAACAAAGCCCAAAGTAATAAAACAATGTAAGGTAAGTGGAAACAAATATATTAACATTAGTACATGTATTTGATGGGGTTTAAAGACAATTAACTATTATTGTACAACGAGAAAGTGTTAATATTTACAAGTTGTGAGTTTTCTTCTTTTAATTTCGACTACAAATCTAATCAGGGTATATATGACCATTTGCTGTGTGTTAAACTGTTTCCTTGACAAAAGATATAATCATCAACTTACCACAATACGCCTTACGCGTGTCATTCTATGATAAGTGGCAATGGAATCCAGACTTGAAGACTAATTAGTCGTAGCGGTAGCAGCGGCAACAGCGAGTAACAATTGAAGTGGCAGCCACTGTCACAGCACCGACGATTACACTTGAAATGAAAATAACAACGTCTGCCGGAAACGGAAGTTATTTGGGTTTTGTTCACAACTTGTGCTTTGGGCTGCGTGTGAAATTTGAATTCTATGGCAGCGGCAGCAAATGAAAGCACATTTATTTTCTTTTAGTTATTCTCGCTTGTTTTTTGCAATTGTTCGGTTAAACAAGAGAAAAAAACGTAAGAAAATTATTTAAACAAAATTACGCACGCACTGACACAAACAAACGCACGTTGGCATTGTTCAGATGCACACACATACACACACACACTTTGTGGAAGTAATTTATGGTGGGAAGCTAAGGTTTCTTTTTTTTGGGTTTCTCTTTTGTTTTACTTAGCCACCCGCATAGGCATTGTATTGAGCAGCCAGCAGCACAGGATGCAAAGTCTCAAAGGATTTCTTTGAGGATTTTTCTTGTTTTATTCCTCTTAAGCTTATTTTTATGTTCCTTTTTTTTAATTTCTTCCTTGCAAGCAAGCGAAAGAAAAAACAAACAAACGCTCACACACAAAATGTTGCGCTTACACACACATTCACTTGATATTATCGTTATTAAAGTAAATACTCCCGTTATTCGTGTGTGTGTGTATGTGTTTTTGTGGGATAATTTTAACTAACACCCGTGTAACATGAAATCGCACTTAATTTAGTTAGCACACATCAGAACATTTAATTTAATATTGTTTAAAAGGAGCACTATTTTTTCTAATACCAAGAAAATCAACACATTATGTTTTCTATTTTTTGTTTGTTGTTAAATTTAGACATTCAATATAATTCCAGTAAAATAAATTTACAATTTTTTTTATTTTCCAACAATTTTCCACTATTTTTCTTGGCTATTTTTTTTTTTGACCGTTTAACCGCACGTCTCAGATGAAACTGAAAATTTTTGCGAGATTTGTTGAAGATAAAATACCCCCTGGAAAAATTCTTTCTGCACATTACGTATCCGTTGTTGCTCTCATTAATCAACAACAGTGGTTGAGAGAGCGTCAAATAACAAAACAGAAAATGTATACTCTGCGAGCGAGAGAGAGTGCAAACAAGGAAACCCAAGAGCTCCACAAATGTTGAACAAACAGACATACATACATAAATACGTTGTAATGGAGAAAATAACAATAAACATTAATAGCAGCATGTGGTTTTTGCCTATGTATGTGCTGTTCTGAGAGCGATACAATGAGATAGAGAGAGTTTTTTGCACGATTCTGATTTTTTGTTTATTATAGAGAGCATGTAATTCTGGAGTTGCCAAGTTGTTTGTTTGGCAAAAAGCGACGTTATTTGAAAATCAAATACATTTTACCAATGATAAAGACTAAATAAAGTACCATAGGATGTCATGAAAATTTCCAATAAATTCATGGATTGTATCATTCCAAGAGGCAATCTAATTTTAAAATTAGTAACAGTACGTGATTTGTTACAAAAAAGAATATAATATATGTTAGAATATAACAAGTTAAAAAGTATCAGTCGTATCAGTATCACCCAATGTTCGATTATTTGTATACATTTTGATTTGTGTTGTGATTATTCCAATTGTCGATCTGAAGTATTGGCCAATATTGTCCATTTCGTATCGGAACTAAATAAATTAAAAATTTGCGTGAGATTCCAGATATAATCGACCAAAGTATTCCATTTTCATACTTCATCTAATACAGATTAAAATATTGGTATGGGCAAATTTCAAGAAATTCGAAAATCCATATCCAATTTTATGCGACATATTAAATGTCATATTCATCACAGGTTTTTGGTAGAGAGAAATACTCAGATAAACCAAGTTGTAAAGAATCGCTGACTTATTTCGCAGGTTATGACAGGTAAAAGCGTTGAAAATTGTGACCTTTGTGGGTGAGGCGTTCGGAGATATAAATCATCTTCACAACAGATAATGTGTGTGTGTGTGCAATTTGAATAGAGTTGGGTGCTTACTTCAAATTTTTGTAAGCTTTTCAAAATCTTGAACCCCATGTGGGAGAGATACCAGAAGAAATGGTCCGTTTCGCGTTTTATGAGCTTCATGGATATTTAAACATTTGACCCTTTGGGGGGAGTTTAAAGAAGGAGTGGACCGATGTATCCCATCTTCACAACAGTTATTAGAAATATGGGATGTGTGAAATATGAAATGAACGGGATGCTTATTTCGGATTTTCTGATCGTTTTGGTTGTTCAAAACGTTGACCCTTTTCGGGGGAGGTACCAGAAGGAATGGTCCGATCTCTACCATATTTACAACATATCTTGTGTTAATAGAAATATTGAGATGTGCCGAGTCTGAACGGAGTTTGATGTTAATTTCGCGTTTTATGAGCTTCAATTTTAACCCTTTGTGGGAGAGGTATTAGAAGAAGTGGGCCGATATATCCCATCTTCACCCCAGACCTCGGGTTAGTAAAAATATTGTGATGTGTATAATTTGAAGACTTTCTGACACTTACATCACATTTTATATGAGTTATAATTATTCAAAATGTTGAACCTTTTTGGGGAGGTACTTGATTGAGTGGACCGATATTGTCCATTTTCTCACCTGAGCTATGAATTTATGGAAACATTAGGATTTGCAAAGTTTGAGCAAAATCGGATTATGTTTTCTCTTCCTGTGCAGTAGAATATTTTTTTGAAAAGTTCGACCTATTGTGGGGGAGGTATCAGAAGGATTGTACCGATATTACCATCTTCGAACTCGATCTAAATTTGATACAAATTTTACGATGTACCAAGTTTGGACCAAACCGGAGTTATCGGAGTTACCTTCAAGAGTTATCTTGCGCACCAGATTGACAAACAGACGGACGGACAGACATCGCTAGATCGACGCCAAATGTCCTGAAGCGGAATTAGTATATCTTCAAGTTCTACTTCAAACTCACATATTCGGCAGCAACTTCATCCTCGTGATAACGTAGGAATACAACTCTTCAGTGATCTGTAATGATATCCACAGCCATGGTCTTTCATCCTATTGCGAAGAAGTATGAACGAAGTCAAACCGGTCCAGATTAGCTAACTTTCATGGCAGCAGAAATGTGGGTAAGGGAACAAATCGACCAATAGCTCATTTATTTTTTCAAAAAAATTTTCTGCTTGCCTGATTGGGAATCAGTTAGGAAAATGTAAAAAAAAAACAAAAAAAAAATTTTTGAAATCGTTATTCTACCGAGCCTATAGTTTTCAGACCTATGCTAATACTCACGGTTTCCCTAACTGGGTAATGAGGTTATTAAATGATTTCTTTTTAAATTTTCTATTGCCGCTAAGTTATATTCCTTATATTTTATCAACAGTTGTCCTCCCTACAACCTTATTACTTTCTGTTATCATTTTATATTAAACACCACTTTTTGGCACTTTCTGTATTAGCGGAAACTCATTCGCATATCTCTTTTGAACAGAAATCTGAATTGTTCTCTCCCTCTCTCTCTCCTGCCTTCCTTTTTTCTCTCTCGCTATTTTTGGCTTTTAATCCAGATAAAAATTTCGTTACCATCACCTGAGGCTAGTTGACCCAATACACGAACAAAGGGATTTCCATGAACACGCACGCACACACACACATACTTGTTACAGGATATTCTATGCATACCAGACACACACAGAAGTGCCCACACACACACGCATGTCCACGTAACAGAAGTTTTTCTTGTTTTGTTTTCCGGGGATAAAGGAATCAACTCACCAGCAACAACAAAAAAGTACGAATAATTTTTTGGTCACGCATTGTTGTTATTGTTGTTGAACTTGTTGAAGCTGAACAAAAACAATGTTGTAAAATGGCAGCAAACAAACTGACGAACGAACAACTCTCAGAGAACATGACATTTATCTTCCACATAAACGGAGTAACTGGCCAAGAAAAACAAAAAAAAAAACATAACTTCCTCTCTCTCTCTTAGCCAACAGCAGCTAAGCTCGTCATCATCATCATCAGCAGCAGCTTCATTGTGTGCTTATGTAAACTTTGGTTATGCTGCGTTTAAAAGTTCAACATAATGGCGGTCGTTACAATTGCACGTGGATATGTTGTGGATGTGTACGTGTGTACTTGCGTGCGTGTGTTTGTGTGTGTAGAAGAGTGTTTGTTTGTTTGCTGGCTGCTTGGCTGTGACATAAACTGGCAACGACATGTACCAGAATTTAAAGTCAAAGGTAGAGTACGTGGTTTAGCTGTTGTAACAAAGTTTGTTCGGCGTGTTTTTTTGTTTCTGCTGCCTCGAATGCTCGCTCCAAGGGTATGCTAAACAGAGTGAATAACTTTACTCTGAGTACCAGAATGTTTTACACTCTCTTTGTGTTTTTGTTATTTGTGTAACATGTAGAAGAGGCAACGTGTTGATTTTGTATATCTGTGACCACTTCCTCTCCCACTCTCCCCCTTCTTGTTCTCTATTTATGTGTTATGTATGTTGTTAAATTGCTGTGTATAAATGGTAATAAATAAAATTTCGATTAGATGACGTTACAGATGTTGTGGTGGAGCCTGGGGGAATACAACAAAGAGAAAAAGTTTTAGAATTATGCCCTTGGGCTATTGATATGGTGTGGACTTTAAAAGCACATTTTCCATTGTTCTCCTGATCCTATATTTGACTATGTATTCCGAGAATATAATCCTTAAATTTTTCGACCCTACGTGTGTAATGGAATAAGGAATGACAAACAATGTTGCATATTCGAAAGGAAAAGTTTTTGAATGGGAGAAGTCCATTCTGGAATGTATGTATTTGATACATTTCCCCACAAAGGGAAGGGAAGAAGTTAAACCCCGCCAAAAGTTCGAACAACTAAGAAATATTATCTGGCCATGATGACCCAATCGGCTGTCTTTAATACTGTAATTTTCCTTTGATTTAATTTCATTTGATTAGTAACATAGCGTGACAAAATCGTGTTCCATATTTAACATTGGGAACCATTAGCTTTGTGCATGAGATAGATAGGAGAGATGAACCATATGTCATTATTGAACAGAACAGTATTTCGAAAGAATTTGATACATTTTCGAAAAAAAATTAACTGCATTTTAAGATTCAGATTCTCGGAGCCAAGGTTCATTCCCAAGCTTAAAAAACCAAGCTTAAACCAAGTCGATTGGAAAATATGGCCAACACCCACGCAATTACTTAAACCAGGAGGTATCTTAATTAAACTCCTTTATCAAAACTAGGACTTACTCTGATTATTATACCCTGCACCATTCAATGGAGTATACATTAATTTTTATATTCCGTTTTTAACTCCTCGATATACTCATGGTAGACTCTACAAAGTATATATATTCTGGATCAGCGTAATATCCTAAGTTGATTTAGCGATGTCCGTCCGTCTGTTGTAATCACTTTCGAACAAATTGAGATAGAAGGCTAAATTTTGCACACGCGTATTTTGCCGTAGGCAGTAACTGGCCATGCCAGTCCACGTTTTCATATAGCTCACTTATAACCATACATCCCGATATTTGTTATTTTGATGATTTTAGAGACATTATTAATCGGAATTGTTTCAACTTTCGTAATTGAAGATTTTAATGGGTGCTACAGCCTATATATAGCTCCCATATAACAGAACCTCCCAATATTCGGTATGTTAATGATCTTAGAGACATTACAGATAGGATTTGTTTCAAATATCGTATTTTAAGTTCGTAATGGGTACTACAACCTATGACAGCAAATTATCTATGCAGATCCTCGTCTTCTTATAACCCATATATAACTTTTTTCATTGAAGCGGAATTTTTTGAAATTTTTTAAATACCTTCCTAATGGGGGAGGGTATTAAAGGTTAAACTAAAACTTAGCTAGAGAGAGGCTAGAGAGGGTATATATTATTTGATACGGCCAAAACGTGTCTTATCGAAATAACGGTGTTAGACCCTAGGTCTCTTTGGACCAAATCTATTTCAGCACATTTGGAGTCGATCTAGCGATGTTCGTCCGTCTGTCTGTCTGTCTGGCTGATGCGCACGATAACTCTCGAAGGGAGTACCCGATGTGGTCCAAACTTGGTAAATCGTAATATTTTTGTCAAATTTAGATCGATTTCGAAAATGAGCAATCGGTCCACTCCTTCTGATACCTCCCATACAAAATGTCAATATTTTCAAGAGAAATTTTTTTCAAGTATTAAAATGTTTGGAATTTTCACAAAACCTATTTTCTCCAGCAATCTCCACTCAATACCTTTAAGATACAAGCTAATAGAAACACAAAAA